ACCGTGTAGCGTAGTGCTACACTTCGGGTGGAAGTGAGGTGAGCTTATCTTTTTAATTTTGGGCATTTTTCGTGCATTCCTGATAGAAGGTCAGAAATGCTAGAGCGGAGGAGGCGCTTGGTGGGATAATGTGCAATCAAAAGCTTTGAGCCATTTTCAGGCCTTTGAAAACGACGAGCTCGTCGGAACGTCGGCCAGAATAAAGATCCCCACCTAACAACCTCGTGGCGAAAGCAAAATTATCAATGTTATGGTAGAAGTTGAATCAAAAAATGTCGGTGCGCAAGGGTTATTCATGTTGGTGAATCCGATTGTAGCGATTAAAACTTATCCGCTTGGCTGTTTATCTCGTAAACACCAAACTTGAGTGTAATCTTATACTTGTGAAACGCACTGTATGAAGACAGCAGAAGAGATAGGGAAGGAGGGAGCGAAGGGGACTAATCTTTTTATGGACATCAAAAATTCACACTCAAAAAAGAGCTCGACCAAAGGTGGTCACGCTCGCAGTCTTTTATTGAATTGGATGGATTTCATCCTAAAAAGCTTTCTCAAAGCAAAAAGAATCAAGAGAGGGAACTCAAAATGCATTTCAGGCGCAGAGCTTGAAGAATGCTCGCACATATAGTAGGAGGATCACAAGGTTGTCAAGAAGTCTCCACAAAATTTGAAATCGCGAAAAAAAACCTACCTAGAAGATTCTCGCCCGGTTTATAGTTTGTTGGGTGTCTGACCACGTAGAGCTGAGACGCAGAGGAAACTGACCAATTGCCTCATATTGGTCATTACGGAATATCTAAAAGGAGAGTGAAAGCCGCAAAGACTACCGTAACCAACAAATATGAAAGCGATCCGAGCGTTTCCTTCGAAGAAACACACTATTGCTAGAACTACAATTAATTTATTTAGGTACAATTTATTGAACTTGTCTAGAGAGGGCGATCTTGTGCTGTATACCAATAATACAAACCAATACAATTAATACCAACAGAAGTTAACAAAAAAATAATGATAAAGAAAATCAAAAATATCCGTTCAATAACAGCTGCCAACCAGTCAAATTCCAGCTCGGCAAGATTTCGTTGCATTGTCCGCGGTGATGTTACGGACACTAAAGTAGTGTCTCATCACGATCGACTGGCACAGCTACCGTAATCGATACTTACAGTCAACATTGCGAATCATACTGTCCAGCGATGCACACGTACTCATTTTGTGCAGACCTTGAAATTTGGACGTGGGCGTGGCCAAAGTGGCTCCTGTGTACTCGATGTCTGGGAAGGACGAGTTATCCTCATCCGACATATTAGAGAATTCCACCAATGCGTTCGTGTCACCTAAAACAGTCGTGAGTTAGAAAAATGTCTCTATCATCTTTGTCTCTATTATGTTGACATGAATTCAGTGATGTAAACCATCTGCTTCTAGACCCTTCTAGGCCTCTCTACACTACGCCATGCTCTCACAGTATACTGCGCATCGAATTCCATTGAAAGGGTGAAGTGCGAAAGATTTTTTTTTCGGAAGTCATGGATACGTGTGAATGTCCTCATTCGAGGGAGCTTAGGAAAATGGCGTCATCTGACATCCTCTCCCTCCTCTCCATTCATCCATCGGAGTCCCAGAGCATTGGAGCAACTAACTAAGAACTGCAACGCGAAAATTCTCCCATACATCCACTTCCATCTTTCTCACTGTTTAACAAACTCGAGTTTTGAATGATTTCACAATGAATCTCAAAAACTAGCACGGGTCATTGATGCAAGTGACGTCTGTGCTGATTGTGCAGCTCTTCTTCGGCACTTGTAGTTGTTGAACATCCGGAGATGGAACGTTCCCGATCCCATTAATCTTTGGTAGGGTGTTGCTTGATTGCTGGAAATGGCACAGTCACAATATTACCGTATTTTCTCAAAACAATCTTCTAGTCTGGTTGACTTACTTTTCTCATTTGTGCCTGTTCTTTGGCCAGTTTGTATACTCGGTGCCATAGACTCTGCTTCCGACCCTCTTGAGCACGTCTCAGCTTATCTTCCTGAAATGGGAATAACTGGGAAGTAGGGACCTTTTTACGATGAGCTCGATCAAAGGTAAGGTCTGGACATGATGACATCACCACTCATATCAAGTTCCGGTTCCAGTAATGAATCAGTCATCAGTCAAGTATAGGAACCAGGGAAGCCCTCAAAGCACACTTTAGCTGGTTAGAGGGTCTCTTTATTCGGTTTTTTTTTCAAAAACTCGAGATTGAGCAGGTTTTTTCGTTTTTTCAAAATAATTTCTAGAAACTACTCTTCAGTACTCCCATCTTCCGCTTACTGATAATGAAAAATGATGAAGTCGGTCAGATGATGTAGGTTTGGTTCCGAGAGGTGAAGAAGTTATGCTACGCCGTCAACCACTCCTCCAATCACCATGCTCTACTCATGTGGTGATAACGAAGAATATTCTGCTATGTGATGTCAACTCCTTCACGAGTCGTTGCGGCACAGGCGGGCTTATTTTGGGAGGCGGAGTTGACCTTTTGAGGACCCAATGACATCATTTCTCGGAAAAACTCTCGCTCTGAGCAAACTTCGCATAATTAACAAATAGTCTTCAAAAGTAATAGAATACGCACCCTGGCTTTTTGTGCATAAGCTTGTTTCATTAGAAGTGGCATTTCCATTCGAACACATCGTGCAACTAACCGAGCCCATCGCATTGTTTTCCGACAGGGAGGTTTACCAAGAATACCTAAAAGTGGAAATATTTCTCAAATTGAGAAGATGAAATTGTAGAAGTTCTCATTAAAGCTATTTCAGTATTATGCATTACATTACCGTTTTCGGTTGGTTGAAGCCCATGTGAGCGTTTTTTCCTAGTCAATCTATTCGGGGAATTTCCAGTTCATAACATTCATCAGGGTAATTTTCTTTCCCCAGATAGGGAAGGATTGTTTCGACATCACAGACCCAAGTCGCTTTGCTTCCCCTTAATTTACTTTGCAAGAGGAGAATGACGTGAGTATCTTCATCAAGAAAGTTTTGCGCCACGCCCTCGGAATCTACCGAGTGAGCCCAAAGACTTTTGACTAACTCATTCAATTCGAGAGCAATTTAGGGGAAAAAGAAGAAGGGGAAAAAGGTCTATTCCGTCAAGTGGATAAATAACAGAACCGTTCAACTAACTCCCTCTGCATGGGAAACTCAGTCGGCTTGAGAGGCTGACGATTGACTAGGCGTTTGTGCTGTCTATCGTCGTCTCATTTCCGTTCAATTCAAAACAGCCGAAAATTCTCACAGACTGTCATTAGGTTCACCTTGTTTTTGAACGTAAATAACCATTGAAGCTGCTAATGTCGAAAACGATATCAGTAAAATCATGCACGTATAGAACCATCCTGAAAATGATCGAGTATTCAAAGCAAAACCTTGATTTTTCACATTGAGAGCGTTGAGATGCGAAACTGTGCAGAATAACAAGATAACAAAGTTTCGACTAAACAAACAAAAAATAAATCAGTAACAAGCAATCTAAGCAGCTGAATAGTTAAAAAAGCAATTGGCTACTTGGGCAGTCAATTTATTTATTTATTTATTTATTTATACGCCCCTATAGACGCGCCGGCTAATCAGTGCGCTAACTCAAGACAATTATTGACAGTAAAGAGAAAAAAGTGGAAGAAAAAGAGAAAAAACAAGGGGGGCTGACCAAGGGACTAGTATACCCATCGGATAAGGAGAGAATTTTGGGGTGAATGCGTTCTAGGCAAGTGTTTCGGTAGAGAATGATAATCCAGGAACAAGAGGGTGCATTCCTGACTGAGGCAGTAAAGGTAAGCTACCGGGCGAACACCTGCACCAGTCGGTGCCCTTAGCGTAAGGGTGAGGTCATAGGCACTTGCCGGGCACACGGGTATACCGACCACCCTCGTGGACCCAGCAAGCTAGGTATACGCCCAGATATTCAACCATGCATTCCCAGTAGAGGAGAGGATATCATCCAAACGAGAAGGCGAAATCAGAAACATTTAAGCCGGTACCCCACACTCATGGCCCATACTAACATCTGTCAGTTGAGGAATTGGTTAGTCAATTGACTGATTGACTTACCAATTCCTCAACCAACTATTCAATCAATCAAATAATTAATTACATTATCAAAGACACAGATTACGATGATTCTTGGATATCCAGTTCAAGTGAAATAATGGAAGTTATGGTGCAAAATGGTGGCGAAAACAACATGAGAAATGACGGATTTCAGGAAACATAAGTTACAAAAAAATGCATGAAAGCTGCTTGTACGAATTATGTTCCTGTAACCGCCTAGGTGTCTCCCACATGAGTTTATGTATTATTTGTCGGTGTCTCTCAAATAAACCTATTTCGGAGCCCTGTGTTGGTCATTTTCCTACACCGACAATGTCCATATCTACATTGATATCCTTGGTCACGACTTGAACTGACACGATGCTTATAAGTGAATGAATTTTTGCTTGTCTGTTATTCGCACCAGGACCCACACGCGCGCAGTGAAACACACTGTTTAGCTCGCCTGGACGCCCCACTCTTCTTCATGTTCTGGTTTCATTCTCGTCCAGCCCCTGTTTAACGGTTATTCGAAGCCTTTTTTACTTTGGAAACACAGATGCACGCAGTTTCTTCACGTCATTCGCACTATTTTCGATCTTGTCTTCCATTTTTCATCATAATCTGGAGTACCCAAAATTATCGTGAACTGTGCCTTTAACCGTCAGATTTCTGTTGCGGTATGATGGAAAACAGCTCAATGGCGACGAATTTTATAGGGTGGAAGTCGAATTAAGGTCTCTAATTGTAGAGCATTGTAAAATCAGCATACAAACCATGTGGACCGACTTAATTTGTTGGGCGAAGTGTCTCAAAGTGAGACTTACCAATAAGAGGAATGAAGGAAGACGTAGAAGGCATTTTATCGGATACCATAAAAATTAGTATAGACATTGACAAAAGAGTTGTAATTCCAAGTGTAATTTTTTCTTCTCTGAGATCGTTAATCGACGATGAGCTGAAATGGTATTCTTTCATTCGTGCACTCATTTCACTACCTCTACCTCGCTACCGTTATAAACCTTGTATGCTCAAAATTTTCGCCCGGCATCACTAGAAGGGCACTTCGATGGTCTCAGACTTTTTTTTGATTATTTAATGGTTTCTGAAAGGATCCCTCGAGACAGACGGTCAAACGAAGGCCAAAGCGATGGTCATACTTTGCGAAACCTTTGAACAAAAGCATGCTATGCCTCGGGTCTCTTGATCGAGGATAGCCTATTGGACTACTCTTGCTCGCGACAGGGACGAATGGAAACGTCACTGGCGACGGCTCCAGGAAATCGATAATCAGCGGGACGACAGGTGCTATGATGACTCATTTAAATGCTAGTGTCAAGGGTAGCTGAAATTATTAGAAGGGCAAAAAGCCGTGCTGTAAAGGAATCTAAGGCAAGGAAAGGTGAAAAAGACAGAAAGTGTAGGGAAAGTCATGTACATTCCTCACTATTTTTGGAGCTATCCGAGCTTTTGCCTTAATAAACGATGATAAAGCGAACCTGAAGAACCCAACAATTGAGATCAAGGTGATGATCGAAGTAGGTGTAATAAGATTAATGACGTAATAGAGCGGTTTTCGTTGTATATTCAAATGAAATTCCAGGAGAGTGTAATTGTTCGGACAGCAATCGTAGTGATTTACATGTCGTTCCACTGAAATGGAACAACTCAAGGAAAGCACTGTGACAGGACGCGAGCAGTCGCGACGCGGTTCCAAGGGCCACCTGGATCGATACGGACCTCTAATGCGGTCGCAAATTTTGCCGCTAATTTTCTATTTCTTTGAGAAAAAATCTCGAAACAGCCACACATTGCGGCCATTCCTGGTATCATGATCAGACGCATCGCAACCGCTCGCATCTCAAATGCGATAGTATGAAAACAACATATAGAACATATGTTTACCTGTTGTTCTCAATACAGTCCATCCCTCATTGTCAATACAATTAGTGATGCCGATTGCATGAGTTGCATTATGAGGAAAATAGTCGATGAGCGTATTGTCAAACGTCCAACTGCCGAAAGTTAGTTTACACGTCTATAGAACAATATGCATTTCGAATGAGTCGAAGAAAAGTTTTAAAAACATTTTCTATCAGAATTATCGTCGTTATGCACTCTTATCGATCGTCAGGGCGATGTGAATGCAGCGCGACCGCGACGCACCTGTTCACTTACCAATCGATAAGCGCGCAATGTCATGAAGAAGTTGCATCTTTTTTTGAATGAACAGCAAAAAAAAAACGACACTGCAGTCAGAGTATTTTTTTTTTCAAGGTTAATTCTTAGAAATTTTTATGGAAAAAGGCCAACCTGTACATCGAATGGGAAGAACCTGAAAATGAATGGTTCTGTGAGTTTTATAGTGTATTTTATTGGATGTCACGTCTCTGTTAAAGCTTACCTCAGGTCTAGCAAACAACTGAGCTTGTAAATAGTAGGATAGAGCAGTTCCACAAGTGCTCCTTTATCTTTTCCGCGAGTCGTCAACTTGGCGTTCAAAAGGCGACGAGTGTCGTGGTCATCCATGACTAAGCTAAAAGGCACGGTTCACGATAATCTCGAGGAAACTGCTAAGCTGAGACCTGGCAAACAGCCATGTTTGTATGGTATGGTTGTTCCAATTCAGTTGTTTTCAGTTGTGCGCAATCGCGTAATCTCTCTACAGTGAGCCAAGAACACCAGAAAGAATTAGGAACGCGAAGCTGCGAAAGATACCAGACTGAATAATTCTCTGACTCAGAAGAAAAAGCAGACTACGGTCTACTATCACACTAGATATTACCCATAGAGCATCAATTGTTTAAGGGGTCATTTGGACTATGATTCCTGGTACATGCCATCCTGCAGGTTTCTAGTGGGTACATCGGCGTGACATACATCTCTAGCACAGATTGGTGTTGTGAAACTTGGACAAAATTGACGTGCACTTTGTAGTGAATGTCAGGTCAGTGTAATCACATTGTGCGGACATACTTCTGATTCTATGATGATATCACGGACCTTCTCGCCCGTGCAGGGTATGGGTAAGTAAGAAAAAGAATATGTCTGGAAGGTTTCAAATAACCTCACCATCGACGGGAATCATATTTTTTTCTCCCAGATATGGCCCTGTGGTTGTTGTCATAGCACTATTGTATAAAGGAGCTACCTACGAATTATAAAGCGTCGTATCCGGTATCCATAGATTATCGTACGGTATCATAATTTCAGTGACGTTCGAGAATTCTTCAGGATCCCATCCAAGCAAATTGTCAACCCATCGCTGAAATCGTTATGCATCTCTAGAGAAGACAGTTTGTTGTGAAAATATAAACAAAACCCAAACAAATGAGTAAACAAAGAGTAATCAAAAATTGGCTTCTGGTCTATAAACATGCTTTATAAGCGTTTAACCGTATGCTCACAGCTTCAGGAAGTGGCGCCACTTCGCCCCACGCCACCTATGACTAATTCGGACAGCTGTTCTCATCGTAAAAACAACAACTTCAGTTTGGAACTGCCCAAATCTAATTCAGCTCTAAGTTGGCTGTCCAGAGTTTCGGAATTGATGCTCAAAATGATATTCCATCACTGACCTCAACAATCCAGGCGTTCAGCATGAGAAACTGTTGTGGCTCATTCTGGAATAATATGTATCTTTTAAGTTAGGATCAAAGTTCTATCATTCAGAGAGATGCAGCTTCAAACAATGTCTGGGAATTCCCATATTATTGCTCCATTGGGTCTTGGGTTCGCCCCTAGCTAAAGGGCCCGGATTCGAGGGCGGAAGGGCGTTTCTTAGAGCCATTACCGTACAATAGATTCCCACGAGTGGGTACGATCGTAAAGATGACACCTATGCTGTTGTTCATTCGGCCCTATCGATAACCATCATGATCTGATGATTACAGCTATTATCAGCTAAGCGCCCGAGTTGTTAGGTCCAAGGGAGCATCGTGGTTTGACCTTTACGTCTTCTACATATTGGACGCTCTCTCTTTCAATTCCGGGCTTTTGGTCAGATCGCTTTCAAAAATTTTCCACAAACTCACCACTTGAATAATCTGATAGAGTTCCATCGAGAAAGACACCTTTATCGATTCGTTCTGAAGTCGTTTCGGTATCAGACCTTTGTTGTATCGGGACAAAATGAAGTTCGTTATCAGGTAATGCTCTGGCACTTCTGTAGACATCGCCTCTATAAAACACCCTGATTTCAGTCCATTCAATGTGATGAGCATCATGAATATTTTATAAGGGATTTAAGTAGTTAATAGTAGCAGCTTTCTGTAGGTAGTAGTAAGTAGAAGGTATAGTTTGAAGTGGGTAGTAGGTGTAGGAAGTAGGTAGGTATCTAGTAATTATCAAGTATTATGTTGATGAACAATTAGTGGGGATTTCTTATGGGATTCTTTTCTATCGATAAAATTCAGAAAATGAATTCGGGATCCAATAGGAATAATCTTCTCGCTTTGATCAACAGAAATGCGTCTAGAAAACATCTTCACAATCGCCACATTATGCTCTACTACTTCGAGAAAAGTTGGAAGGTGACAGAGTCATTTTGCTACATCAACGAATTTTTGGCGATGGAACAGTCAGCCAAAGCCAAGTAAGAAACGAGATCTATTCCTAAATCCGTCATATTTACCTACAGAAAGCCCTATGGACTATCACTTGAACCGTTCGTTGAAAGGTTGGCTAGCGAACAGAACTTCCGATGAAATGGATGACTTGATGGCCGAAGTCAAGGCGTGGATTGACTCCAAGAATCGAAACTTCTTCGCCTGTCTAATTCGACAGTCTAACAAATGGGAAGCAGTGTTTGACGTGGATGGTGGATGAGTAAGATATTCCAGAGTAATTGTTTGAACACATTTTGTCGTTTTTCAAATAAAATTCATTGGAAAAAACGGCAGAAATTATGCACCAAACTAATAAATGAACATAAAGTAACTTCAGTACTCTACACATTAAATCTTTACCAACTCAAGAAAGCCTTCGAATACGATTCGAGGACTTTTCGAGTCTGAGATGATTCATATTAGAAAGGTGCGACTGGTACCTACTTGATTTAAAATTGGAAGAATAGAAACTCGCAAAGTCAGCAATCAGTGACTAAATTTTATTTTTATTTTTCAAGTTTTCAAAAGCACTTTTTTATGTCATACTCTTGTGGCATATATGATCGATAATTGATTTTCTTACGGTTCTGTTATTCAACGGATCTCCTTCACTGAGCCTTCTCTCTCGCTGAAGAATCTCTAGCCCATTGTAGAGCAAGCTATGTAGCGCGACCCCACGTGGCGGATAGAGAGCAAATCGCAGATTGGAAGTTAGCGGTATTCACCCAAAGATGCTGGTGGATTCAGGGGATGGGCTCCCCTGTTTTTGCTGTGCTGTTCGACTTATACCTTCTAAGTCCTCGCAGGTGCATCCATGCATAACTTTGTGGAGAGTTTGGGGGTGCGGTTGATATCCTGCACATCGACTTAGCCAAAAGTTTGCTTTCGAGTGACTGGAAAGTAATCCGGGAGGTAAATCGGGGCCGTCTTCGATAAACAAAACCCTTGTCCACTTTCAGATGGCCTGGCTATCCACCTGCAGTCTAGTCAGTCCCCACATCAGATCCCGGCCAGCGACTCCCGTGTATCCACGTGCCAAAACAGTAGAACAAATGCTCCCTGATCCACTCAAAAGGATCAGCCTGCCTACTTTCCGTCTTTGGCCAGATGTGTCTGAAAAACTAGCAAGACTGTATCGCTTCATAAGAAGGAAGATTCCGACAATATTGGCAACTCTGTTGCGTGTAATCTATAAACTTTTCACACGAGACATTCTCAAGAGGATTGGCAGAATGTNAGAGCAAATCGCAGATTGGAAGTTAGCGGTATTCACCCAAAGATGCTGGTGGATCCAGGGGATGGACTCCCGTGTATCCACGTGCCAAAACAGTAGAACAAATGCTCCCTGATCCACTCAAAAGGATCAGCCTGCCTACTTTCCGTCTTTGGCCAGATGTGTCTGAAAAAGTAGCAAGACTGTATCGCTTCATAAGAAGGAAGATCCCGACAATATTGGCAACTCCTGTTGCGTGTAATCTATAAACTTTTCACACGAGACATTCTCAAGAGGATTGGCAGAATGTCAGATGAAGAACAGCCATGCGAGCATACGATGGTTCATCACGGTCGATCGCATTCACACTTTTACCAAACTCATTAAAGTTTCGCGAAAGTACAAGATGCCGTTATGAGTGAAGTGCATCGTTACGGAGAAGGCCCTTTGATACTGTCGAGACAGAAGCGGCAATTGAAGTGCTGAGCAACTATGGTGTTCCTACCCAGTACAGGATATGCTTCGTGAGCTCTATGAGAAATTCACTACCAGAATTTCATCATTCTATTATACAAGGAAGTCGTTGTCAACGTGAGAAGAGAGCGGTCCGGTAGGGCGAAACCATTTCGTCCAAACTTTTCAGTACCGCTCTCAGAACGTCATGCGTTATATGGAATGGGAAGAGTCGGAATTGAAGGTTGACGGCCGCCACTTACATGATCTCCGCTTTGCAGATAAGAACGTGCTTATAACACCGAACATCGAGCAGGCGGGACGAATGGTGACCAATTCTGGCAGCGCTTGTGGAAGGATCGGCTCACACTGAAGCAACCGAAGACGATTCTCATGAGGTGCGGACTATTACGTTCACGCTGAACGGAACGGATATCTTTGAGCTAATGCCATGCCTCGTGTCCCTTTAGCAAGACGATCCACTGGACTATTTTGGCTCACGAGAGGGATGATTGGACGCCTTGGCGTCACCCAAGGAAATCGACGACAAGCGGGACGGTGCAGGTGGTTCGGTTCCATTGTCATCAGGTCTTTTCCACGTATTCATTTATGTACTTTTTATGCATGTAATACATTACAAATAGATGTTAGGGCTCACAAACAGAAGTTGCAGCAAACTTGGAAAAAAGGTTGTTCCGGAAGGGCATTCCTAGGATGGACGTAATGGGCTATTAGATGGAGCGATTCTTTCTCAATGGTGACCTGATTGGGCCCCGAAAATACGATTCCATCTGAGAAAATCTTCGAATATTCCAAGTTATTAGTGATGCTCCATCCTGAAATGATCACTCTGCCAACTAACATCCACCACTATCGGAACTAATGACAAACTTTCAATCCATGATTAGATGCTGTTGATGCATTTGCCCAAATGATTTCTCTCCAAATTGGCGAAATTCTCTACAATGCGGATGTGAGTCGTTTAAAAGCACAGTTCACGATAAAAATGGCCCATGAGATATTCCGCTAGGATAAACCTGTGGCCCCTCGTACATCGGAGGAAGGAACTTACGTGCGTGGGAGGGTACGCGCGGCTAATTGTGCGGCGAAGTTCGTGTCGATTTGAACGACTTTAGTGTCTATTATTGACGCCCAAATTTGAGGTAGAGTAGATTAGTGAGATCAGCTGACCCTGATAATCTTCTTTGCTTCAAGTTTTGGCCCCAGTGAGCACAGTGATGGGCACAAAAGCGTTCAAATCGCCACGAACTTCGCCGCGGGCATCATTGGACGCATGTATGTACGCATACCCCTCGTACACAACATGTGTGCTGTCAGGTCGGGGAACAGCCTAGATAGGGCGTCATAAGGGTTCAAAGATCATCCCGTGTGTATGGACGGACGAGTTTCACCGGCCTTGTGGAGGCCGCACCATTCACAAGGGAGCCCATGTAGAAAGTTCAAACTTGTAATGACCCATAGCGATAGTTTTACTTGATGTACTCAGCACTTTGGCAAATGCAACAACTGAAATCTCGTCCCAATTCCTTTCCACGTAATCTCCATCATGGTAATCCTGTACAACCTTATTTCGCTAAATTCGAGGAAATTTATTTTTGCAAATCGACGAATTTTCTTGCTTCCTTCAGTACCAATGCACTATTCCCAACCGAAACTTCCGTTTTTCAACTTGAAAAAGGGTGCCTTAGGATTATCCTGAACTTTGCCTTAAAGCAAATTATTCCAGAAAACTTTTAAAAAGTGACTTCCACTCAGAAGACGGGAAAAAGCCAGCTAACTTGTTCCAAACTATTGAAACATCAATTATCCTCATCAACTCCCTTTATTCGGAGAGGTAACTAGCGGTTAAATGGAGGAAATGAAAGCACTGAAGCTGATTGGGGTGCTAACGGCGGAGAGATTAAGAGAAGAGCAGGAAATTCAGAAACTACGCTCTTCATACCAGTCACGTCTCGAGAAGATGACGAAGATGGCGACGGAAGGGCGTTTCGTGCTACCTCTTCCCCTCTGCTCACCAACTTGTCAACTGCATAAGGAACTGGGTAGTAGGCACCGGTTTACTCTTGCAGCAGTAGGACAACACCGGGGACCGTTCTTACAACGCCGTTTGAAACTTCAGTTGACAGGCGTATCTGACGGCGATATTTACGACCAAGTAATTTACTCGTCTCTAGAAAGTATCCCTCTGAAGAAGAGGTATCAGGACCTGAACATTCCACTACTACTATGTATGTGTTGATTTTTGTGTTCGAAACGGGGCATCGCTTCGGCGACCACATTTCCGCTTCTAATGTGGCGGAACTAATCCTATGTCAAGTTTGGATGAGTGATTTTTTGTCCACCACCTCATATACACATCCTATTACATGACTACTGTATGTTTGTCAAAAAAAAGAAAACAAACAAACAAAAGGAGGTAAAGCATTTACTCAATGCACACCTCACACACCAGGTTACGGCCTGAATCTTAACAATGGGATATGGTAAATGGAAAATCTTGAAATAGAGCTGATAGAAAGTGGTAGTTCTGGATAGATGGCAGAAATCTATGCAGTCTTGGTTAGATCAAGCCCACCATTGTCGCCTTTGTATATGAGGGCCATCAAAAAAAGGCTGAAGTGGTGGCTGTGGCAGGTGTAACTTATGCATGGTTTGAGGATCGAATCCTAAACCGCTAGTAGCTGAGTTCACTTGAGCCTTCCATCCTTGCGGGGTACCAGACTACATAGACCAGACAACGCCAATGACCTCATTCCCTCAGAATTCATCTTCAAAAGTAGGTGACTTCCATTCCGAATGTCCCAAAATAGTATTCATAGCGCTAGAAAAAACTCCATCAGTACCCTTCGGGTAGGAGACAGCATACTGGCGAGGAATCTTGGTCTGACGAGCTCGAACCATGGATCGAGTCTACCCGACTTCTACCTTAATCAAGGCTCGTCTGTTTATAATATCAGGGTTTTTGCAGAGATTCCGTCATTCCTCCTGAATCTATTCAAGCGACTTGGGACATTTTTCCCTATAATTATTCAATCAGCACTGATCTGATGGAATTTTCACAAATCCTCACAAACCTCTCATGGAGGTTGTCGTCCTCCCAGTCACCTATTCATTCAGCTTAATCAAGAGCTACCAAACTGTGATTGTGCTGTACCTTTCCAGGTGATTACCCGATAGCTCATCACTTATCATGAAAAATTCATTTGTCAGAATTTTCGACTTCCTCAAGAACACCTGCTCAGTGTCAAAGTTGCCTGGGAAGATCAAACATCTGAAAGGACAAAGACAGCCCGAGCTGACCTCATCCTTCCAAGTGCATTTAATTGCGACCACCTTCGTAAATGAGTCCCGAAATTCAAGAGAATCCAATACTTCGACGGACGGAGCTGCAGAAAAACAAAGTACTCAGGAACGAGTCAAACCTAGAGGAGACATAGAGTATCTCGGCAGAGGACACTCTTATTCCAAATGAAAAAACTCTAATTACTGTGCTCGAAAGGGAAAGCCATTAGAAGTACACGACTTCTTGGATGAATTAGATTAGGTTAAAAAGATGAGCGGTAGGGTACAGTCATCCAAAACAGGAAGGTTACTTGTTCCCCACCACAATATTGCATTAAGAGTTCCTAGAAAAAAATCTTTTCACCTTCCAGAAGAGTTTCTTCTTTAGGGGTCTCTAAAGAGAGTCTTTCTCCCCAAGTACCCTCTGCGAAAGGCTTTTGTGAAAAAGAGGGAGTCTCCACAGATCTGAGAGCTCAGTAATGAACGAAGACGTTAGATTCGTACCAATTTTTCCTGAAGGGAAATTACTCGGATGGATGTATCTAACAGGCTATAATAAAGGATGGAGATAGAAGTCCTTTAGCGTTGATCAATCTCGTTTCTAGAATGGATTCCCGATCTGAGAGCTTAGTAATGAACGAAGACGTTAGATTTGTACCAATTTTTCCTGAAGGAAAATTACTCGGATGGATGTATCTAACAAGCTATAAAAAAGGATGGAGATAGAAGTCCTTTAGCGTTGATCAATCTCGTTTCTAGAATGGATTCCCGTGTAGTGGCGTCCAAATGCAAATGAGGCCTATACAATGATCCAAGGTGGTCAGCCGACCTACACTCAGTGTTGTTATCCTCCCAGATGAGTCCGGTTCCGATTAGCAGACCCCGGCCAAGTCGAAAACCTGACTAAATGCAGCTTCCAACACTGGTCTAATCAGAACTACATTTAACATACCGTATCCGTATATATTGAAACTAAGTCTTCAGAATCATGGCCGTTCATCTGCTCTACATACGTATTTGCCTTAATTCTAGCCCTGCTTTCTCGAAAGCTAGACGATCGCTAGCCGAGAAGCCAGAGGCGTCTACAATTTTATTTTCACGAGTCATTAGGTAACTGTCAGATTAAGTTGTGTAATTAAGGCCCTGACTGACGGTCGGGCAGCACAGTGCTTCATTTCGTTTTTCTCATCTAATAAGCCGTNTTCCCGAACCCTGTTTATGAGGGGGAATCTGCAATGACACAGTCTTCGCTCATCTCTGAATTCAAATGGAAATTGCCATTCTAGGGGGTTCCGGTTAAAGGGATTGAGGTTTGCGGCGGCGCTGTTTTCAATTAGTAAGTCATACAACCTTACATCTATCACGATTACCGCAAACCTAACCTGCATTACGAGGATAAAAACCAAAACGTACTGCAGTCCTTCGATTTCGTGCTACAGTAACACTACATGCAGTAACCATACAGAGAGAAGAAGTATCGGAGAGCCAATTTAGCCCGTTCTGGGTTTGACCCATCAGAAGAACGTAACGGACGGGAAAAGAAGGATGAACAGCTCGATCATACTGTAACACGAAGTCCACGGACTTGGAAAGAAGAACTATTCAGGACTAAGGTCGGATCTGACCAAATAGTACTAGGATGTATCAACTGGACAGTACTGTGGATCACGTGAGTGTGAATACGGGAGCCTTAGCAGCTCCAAGCCCAAGGGTCAGAAGAGCGCCTCGTGGAGCAAGGTGAGCCAATCAATCCCTAGTTCGAGCTACCATGAAAGATTGCAGGAAAAACTGGTAGCAGCATTCTCGTATCTTGAAAAAACTCAAGCAATGCTAAGAGATAAGCTGATAAATTGATGTTTGAAAAATCTCAGCCAAAAAGACTGAAGAGACAAACCTGTCACCAGTAGCTGAAGAAGGAATACGAGAAACAGAACAGAATGCAGAATAAAAATCGATTTTATAGTACCTGAACGGCTGAATAGTGTACTGATGAGGAGGATCAGAATCAGGTTCTGCATGATGGTCGTTTGGTGTTTTCGCGGTCTGATTACTGCTGACACAGAAGGGTGTTGGTGAGGCGCTGTTCCGTTGGTGAAGGAAATTGTTGCCTTCGGACCGCCTCCAATTCTGGTTGTCGAAGGGAACCACTGAAAATAACACACTGGAGGAGTTAATGACACCCGCATAAGCTCTAGATGAATCGTCCTTTTCCTTCATCCCTGATATCCAGGTTATAGGGCAAACCTGAGAGAAGAGATATGTCGTTGCGATGCCTAAGAATGCTTTGGATCCAGTTGAATCGAATAGGTTTCACTTTGTTTACACCGGGTAGACTTGGGCGAACTGGCGTGTCTTCTAACCTATAAAAAATTCATTACTTTCAGAAAAAAACCAGTAAGTAGAGTTGCTCGGAATGGTCTCTAGACTCAATTCATTCTAATGCGATTGCGCTACAGCAATGAAAAGCGGGCTTATTCAATTTTGGAGCACCCNCCCAAAGCTATTTGGGTCCATTACACTTGGGCTATCCTCAAATCATGCTCACTATAGGCAATATTCTGCGATTCAGTCGGTCTGAAAGGTATATCTCTGGACAGACATCGACTGGGAGGTAAGAAAAATTGGAAGTGGAGCTCTGGGAACAGGTTGGGAAGGAGTAGGTGTGAGACACCTCCTTCAACTTCAAGTTCGTTGTCCCGGAACGACAAATATCCCACTCAGGAACGGCAATCTGGTCAAACTCATAGGTATAATTGTAGAAATCACCGGAACTCAAGCTTTTATGGAGCGTCAGTCTTCCCACTTCTCTTGAAAACACAGATGGTGAGAATGTCCTCAAGGACCTTTTACTGGGCTTTTGGCGTTTGAGGAACTGATAGCTAAGCGTTGTAGCTGCGAAAAACGACTCGAAAAAGACATATGAGTGGCTCAAAGTTTGCCATAGACGTCCTATCCGTCAAGGAGGTTTTTTGAAGGGCGTGCCTATAGGTGTCCTTTCATTCTATAGCCCACTTATGACACATCACCTCATGCTATTGCGAATTGAGCTTTCAAATGGCATCTCTAATCTATGGTCTGAAGTGTCAAAGCCCATTCTGCTTAACTGGACCATTTATCCTTATAGCATGAACTATTAGGCTTTCAAGTATGGCATATCGAAATGGAACCAGCAATGGAAACGAACAGAAAGCCTAGGTGAGCATGGCTTACCTACACATAAGGTACTCAACGCCCTACTTTCTGAGTTTATAGGGCGATAAATAGCTATCCATATGCCTATATGATTTCGCTTAAAACCTGCCCCCTCCCTCCCCCGGGCCCGTTCGGTTGCGTAGTGTTACCGAGTGTTCGGCCCGGAGTAGCACCTGTCTATTCGGCTCTTCCAAACGGTTCCTCCAAAGTTTTTGTAGCCCCACGTGTTTAGCTTCTTCCCCAACAGCGTTCGCCGAGTCTTAGGTAGCTGTCTAGTCTCCCGGTATTTCATTCAAGGATAATGACGTCACACTAGCGCCTTACCAATCTCCCTCGGCATCCAAACCTTGGCGGGATAATACAGGGCATGACAAATAGAGGAATAAGTAAGGCTCTAGTGTGACGTCCATCCTTAAGCAGATTCAAGTCATTTTCATCCATGAGCACGGCGCCTTCAAAAGATCCAAGAACTGAGGGGATCTTGCATTTGCTGCAACGATTTGGGCATAATAGAGGCCTACGGTAAGTAATGCCCATTAGAGCAGTGTCTCGTTTGTGTGTCTGACAAACCTGGAAAAAACCTCATAGCGGATGCCAATCATCGGCAGTCCGAAAAGTTTCAGTCGAATGCTAATCATTTTTAAGGAGAACGTAAGGTCATAACCAGTTACGCATGCAGGCGATAGCTAAGGAACGTCAATCACGAAGCGGCTTTAGCAAGGGCGAGAAGAATCAGAAATAGACAACTAAGAATTCAAAATATGAGGTTGTCGTTTTGAGGTATGAAAAGATTCTTGCAGTAACAGCGGTTTTCTTTTTTTTTTGTCTGCATGTACTTTGACTTCAGAGAGGGGATAAAGCTACAATAAGATGCTGTTAATAGCCCGTAGAAGCCAAGCACAGAGCAATTAAGAGCGAATAAACCTGAATACCATGGCCTCGTTACCATAGTGCGATTGTGTGTTGAGAGATAGTTCCCCAAAACTATTCGGAAGGTACTAGACAAGATAGGTCGACTTAGACGGAAGATGAAGAACGTAGGATATGACCTTCGACGGAAAGAAGTCGAAAAATCCTATGAAGATTACTCGAAATAGATCTCTCTTTAGTCATTGCAACTGACTCCAGGAGATGGACGAATTACGAGGAATTAAAGATGCTGAAACAGTGGGCGTAAGTGAGAGGGAACAAGACGATCAATGACTGATTATCCGAGACGACACGTCCAAATCACCATGAGGTACTATCGTGCATACCATTTTTGAGTAGGCAAGACATTTGTTATAGGAAAGACCCCAACTCAATAGGTGTTGGTAGATCTAATCTCATAGAAAGCTTTGCCTAACATTTTTCAGTGAAAAATTTTATGGACATGCTCAAAAAGGGCTGAAATAATGAAAAGAGCATATTGGCTTCGCCAATCAAATGAATAAATGAACAAATAAATAAAATTCTCAGCAACGATGGCGATCCGAATGAACCTACCTCCTGTTTTTCGGCGATTCCAACCTCAAGTTCCCGAGCAAGGATTTTCCATTTGTGAAGTTCGCAGTGCTATCTGAAAACAGTTCAGGGGTAATGATGCTCGGAGGGGAGGGGGG